TTAAATGAGGGTTGATAATCACTCCAGAATTGTTTCAGTGTCCTAGAAGTATTTTTTAATAAAAAGGGAGTTGTCAGTTTGAGTTTTTCGGGGGCAGGGTATGAGGTGGAGGAGTCTTTATGCCATCTGTTAAAAGTTTTTTGTGATACACCATCAAGTAGAAAATTGCCGTTTGGAAAACCTGATTAAAAACGAATAAGGTTTATGATTAGCAGAGCATTCACTTTGTTGCTCAATCTTAACCTTTCCTGAATAGATACAAATGAGAAACTTTATTTGGAGAAACATGTTTATTTAGCACAAAAGGAAGAGGTAAGGGAGAAAAAGTAAGAAAAATCTTAACAGTGCATTTTATTATGTTCTTCGAATATGATAAATTTTGCAAAAATTTGTAAAAAAAAAAAAAAAAAAAAGTTACTTGGTGTACCTGGCTGGCTCAGTCAGAAGAGCATGTGTGAATGAGTTTGAGCCCCACGTTGGGTGTAAAGATTACTTAAATAATAAAAACTTGGGGTGCCAGGGTGGCTCAGTTGTTAAGCATCTGCCTTCGGCTCAGGTCAGGGTCATGGGATCAAGCACCTCATCAAGCTCCCCACTCAGTAAGGAGCCTGCTGCTGCTTCTCCCTCTGCCCGCTGCTCCCCCTACATGTGCTTGCTCTTGCTCTTTCTGTCATATAAATAAATAAATAAAACTTTAAATAAATACATAATCCATACTTAAAAAATTTTTTAAAATGAAAGAAAAGTCATTTTACAATTAGTATACATGAGGTAGAAAATTAGAGAACTCAAAGAAAATAAATGTAACATCACTGCCCATTATGATTAATTGTATATGGCTGTATTTCCTTTCCCCACAGACATTTTATGGATAATATCCTATAACCAGGGTGCCTGGGTGGCTCAGTGGGTTAAAGCCTCTGTCTTCAGCTCAGGTCATGATCTCAGGGTCCTGGGATCGAGCCCCGCATCAGAGAGCCTGCTTCCCCCCAACCCCTCTGCCTGCCTCTCTGCCTACTTGTGACCTCTGTCTCTCTGTCAAATAAATAAAATCTTTAAAAAACAATATCCTGGGGCGCCTGAGTGGCTCAGCGGGTTAAAGCCTTTGCCTTCGGCTCAGGTTGTGATCCCAGGGTCCTGGGATAGAGCCCCGCATCGGGCTCTCTGCTCGGCGGGGAGCCTGTTTCCTCCTCTCTCTCTGTCTGCCTCTCTGCCTACTTGTGATCTCTGTCAAATAAATAAATAAATAAATCTTAAAAAAAATATCCTAAAACCAGTGGATACATAGACATATGCATACACATAAAACATATCTACGAACAGTGTCATATCTTGCTTTTTGCCATAAGGGCACGTTTTTTTTCCTCCCCAAAGCGTTCAGATGTTCTCATTTTCCTCATAACATTGCCATGTTTTATGTGGTTATATTTGTGTTCTCTTTGTGTCTTTGTTGCCGAACTGTAGGGTAACAGTCTCCAGAGATGGTTAAGAGTTTCTGTCGGATCATCTCTATCAGTAACCTCTTTTTTGAGTTTTATTTTCCAAACATTTTTATGAAGACTTCCAAATAGCTAGCAAAATTGAAATGATCCACCTTCTCCCTATATTCAGCAGTTAACATTTTACCGTCTTTGCTCTGTGTGTGTGTGTGTGTGTGTGTGTGTGTGTGTGTGTGTGTACGTGTACACTACTTTTTTTTTTTTCCTTTTTTTCCACTGAACCTTTTGACAGCAAATTGCAGGCATCATTTTGGCATATTTTGGCATGCCGCTCTTAAAAATGAGGACATTTCAAATGGGCGCCTGGCTGGCTCAGTTGGTAAAGTGTGCAACTCCTGATCCTGGGGTCATGAGTTCAAGCCCCACCTTGGGTGTAGAGTTTACTTGAGAAAGGAGAAAAAAAGAGGACGTCTTTCTACATGACCATAATACTATTAATCATACCGATGAAAATTAAGATTGTCATCTAGTGTCAAGTCCAGATTTTCCCACTTGTCTCTATAGAGTGTCTGTGATAATAGTTATTTTGAAAGATGGTCTCAGGCTGTTACCAGTCAAGCATATTAATAATGTCTGTAATAAGGCCCCCACTTTTTTTTTTTCCCCTTGCCACTGAGAAAGAAGACTCTGAGCCAACTTTGAACAGGATGTCCTACATTCTGGATCATATGATTATTTTCTTGTGGTGTCCTTTAATGCAATCCTCTATTCCCTGTTTTCCTGTAAATTGGGAATTCACTTTATTATATTTATATTAAACATTTTTAGGCGAGAACATAGGACGTGGTTCTGCATCCCTAATTCATCACATCAGGAGGCACACAGTGTAAGGTTGTCTTGCATTTAGACCATCAGCTTAACTCTTAACTGTGATCACCTTCCATGTTAGAGCTTGTCCTGCTAACAAGGTTAAGTAGCTGCTGTTGTAGAAACCTACAAGTTTTCCAAAATTTAATAAAACATAAAAGGAGTGAGTTTCCTGTTCATATCTTATTATTAGATTTAAAATAGTTTATTTTGATCTAGAAATGTTTTTATTAAAATATCTAAGATCAAAGAGGAATTTTCACCCACAACAGCATTAGAATTTCCCGAAAATGCAGTCGAAATTTATATAGTTCTACATTTTGTACCTCCTCTCCTTACCTATTACTTAGCAGCAGTGATGAAGAAACTAATGTTCTAATGGCCTGCTTTTCTGTCCTCTCCTATTGCTTTAAACACTAATTTCCTTTTGTACTAAATCATTCTAGCCAATTACTGTTTTTTTCTGTTAAGCAAGTCAGTTTTAGGAAATGCTTGTGTTGCTGTTGAATTCTAATAGCCAAGTAAATTTCAGAGGAAGCTTCAAACGCCAGTGTGAATAAGATGTAAACTAGTTCATGGTAATTTGCTGAAATTAACTTGATATTTCAAGTGGAAATTTTATTGACACAACTAAGACTTGATACTTATTTAATGAAATGTTCTCATGCTTAGACTCTATGACTCGTGGTAGAGAAATGAGTGTTTTGCTGTGATGATGTTATGAAATACATGTGATATCCTAGTTTGTCTACTGACACTGGGGTCTTGAATCTTAAAAAAAGGCCTCCGAGGAAGCAGAGGAAAGTGGATCACAGGGAAAATTGGTGGAAGCTCTCAGGCAAATGAGAATTAATCATAGGGGAAACTACCGACAACTTCTGGAGGAGATGCTGACTAGTTACAGGCTAGCTAAAGTAGAGGGAGAAGAAAGCCCTGCTGACCCAGCGGCCACAGCTACTTCTTCGAACAGTGATGCTGGAAGCCCAGTGACAATGCAGGCAAGCCGTACTGAATCAAACAGTGCTCTTGCTGAATTAGACAGCTATAATGAAGATGCAGGGACAAAGATGAGTGGTGAACAAATATGACTTGACTTCGTGGTAATATTTTTGTGATCTTTTGATTTGCTGGTTTTTACTTAGGAAGTATAATGTATGCATTTATAGAACCGTTTTGTTATTTGAATCTTGGTAAACTAGTTTTATTACACTCCTATAGCCTTGTTTTTTTAAGAAGGCCTTTGCATACACCTTTATCAGATAGTTTAAAATGGGCTATTTATAGTACTTTGAATTCAATAAAATTATATGTCATTTCATATTGTATGCCAGAAATGAGGCTACAGTTATTCAGATCAGTAGTTAACTTCATACTAGATAGGATTAGAGATTACTTACTGATAAGCAAGATGACATTATATTGTGGAAAAGCTTGTAATTGTAGAATTCTACTGCTTCACATTATTTTACATATCAGTACACTCATAGTTAGCTTTGTAATAAATTTGTGTTTTCTTTAGCGATTTTAGTTCTTCAAAGAATGGCAGATTCTGGCCTGTAATTTTTTTTCCTCCCAAGGATGATAATTTGTGTGTTCTTTGACTTGTTTATATTTTACATCTCTGTAGTTTTATTTTTAGACGTTCTGAGCTGTTGGATGTGTGGTTGTTTTTCCTTTCTCTGTATTCTTTATTGAAACCTAATTTTTGAAAAACCTATGTATTATTGATGCAGCTTTGGTTTGTATATTCTGTATAGCCTAACTACATACATCAAAATGTATGTCAACCAAGTGTTTAGAATGAAATTATAAGTGTTCAAGTCCAAATAAAGCATGTGATATGGAATAATCTATGCATGTTGTACTTATTTTTAAATTAAAAAAATTTTAAATAATCAGGCTTGGTATATTGGAAAAATACCTCGTAGAAATTCTTTTGTACTGGTAGAAAATATAGAGAACTTTTGGCTTGGCTTTTGTCATTAATGAAAAGAAAACATTTTGAGAAGTCTTGCTTACTCAAATCCATTCTGTTTCTTATCCCCTTTTTGTGGTACAGAATATTAATTTTTGGCCAGTATGGACACACACTGACATGTCTGAGTTGTCATGATGAGCGTTTTAAAGAATGTGAGACTGTCCTCTTTGCTTTCATCAGATACTAAGAAATGCAAGAATTACAGGATATTTTAAATAGTGGCAGACACGAGTTTTGCTTTTGTTAAGATAGGTTTTTAAGATGCAGGTGGCTATCAGTCACATGGGAAAGTATTTCTTAAAACAAGAATTTTGTGAATGTAGAACATATAACTTTTCTTTGTCATGTTTTTATTTATCATGTATCTAAACTTGATTCTGGTGCCTTAAGTTGAAACTTTGGATCTTCGGATGTAGCTGATGTTTTTTTATCTATTTTTCCAATGCCAGAATATTTTTAAGTGATTTGAGAAAGAGGAAGGCATTTGGTGGAGAGGGAAGGAAAAAAACCCCAACCACTTACCTATCTGTATTAGATAGATCCATGTGTATACACACAGTATACACTACCCACACCTCTCTGTAAAAGTGCCTTTTCATACAGAGAAAGGAAGGTAATTTGTTCATCTAATTTTGTTTTCTTTTGAAATTCAATCCAACCTGGCAGTGGTGGAGGTAAATAATAATAATAATATTCTTCCTTTTCTCTTCCTGTAGGGTGCTGGAGATCTAGAAGACCCATGGTAGCCTTATAAACCTTCTAAAATGCTTTTGATTCTGAAAATTGGGGGAAAAAAAACTTTTAATCACAATTTTCTTCAATACAAGGGAAAAATATTCTTGTGGATTCCCACCGTTTTGTGATATGAGCAGAAAATCATTAGCATTTCCCATCATTTGTTCATATTTGTGTTTTCTAATAATTGCCACTTGTAGCATTGCCTGTTCTACAGTATTTTTTGCCGACCTCAGGCATACTGGTTACATCTGTATTTGAACTTTGGGCCCTAGGAACCAACGGAGTTATTTCACCACAAATAACAAACTCTGCCTGAGGTGCATGGGAATATAGTTAGCCGTACTCTGAAGATACATTATGTTTTTGTTTTTGTTTTTTGTTTTTTAGACAAGACACACAACATATAAGCATGTAAGAGTAAAGAATTGTATGGGATGTTCCTTTCTCAGTTCACCAAGTTGGAAGCCTTTTGCAGCTCTGTGGCTTGAAATTTCCTTTGAGCAATTTACTATAGGACATATATTTATTATTAATTGTTATTTAATTTTTTTTCTAATTTTACCTGTATTACCAAACTGGGTTCTCCAATAATGTCCAAATTGTAACATTGCCTGCTTTTCAAGATAAAGTGTATTTGGCAATAATATTATAAACCCTTACAAATTTTATGCATGTACCTACTACATCCTTCAGCTCTCACTAGCAAATCTTTTGAAACCAAATGGATTAATTTATGGCTATTTATAATTTGCTTTGACATCTCACTGCTGCAAATTTTTTTAAATGATGAGATTTGCCTTTATAATGTAAATTGTGATTTTGTTTTACATGTGGGTTTCTATAGTTTTAATTTTTCAGCTTTTAAGATACAAGTTTTGTGTGTAATTTGGTATAATTTTTAATTGTTTACCTTATTTTAAAAGCTCAGAATATCACATTGAAATGACTATAAATACATTTAAAATTATCTATTTTAGATCTAAGGAAATATTACAGAGATATTTTCATGGGTTCAGTAACCTTTCATTTTATAACATTGGGCACGGTACAGAGTGGCTGTCACATAAGGTACTTGAAGATTATTATTTTAATTCTATTTTTACAATAACCTTGAATTCTTGAATTCTTTTTGAGTTTTGCATGTAGTAAATCCAATGAATGCTGAACATGAAGAGTAAAATATTTATCGAAAAGAAGCTATTGGGGTAGGAGAAGCAATGAATGTATCCATTTGTACATGGTTTACATGTTGTGGATGCTTTGTAAACATCTTCCTATATGTTTAAATTGTGTTTCAGCAGGATGTAATTGCCCTTGTGTGTAGTTAAAAATGAGTCATCATCTGGTCCTGTGTGAAATGGAATTCATGATATGTTCTGTAACATTTTCCTGAAGCTGTTTCTGGAGAGCCACACATTTGAATACAGACAGCTTTCCTGATCATTTGATTTATTGTGCACCTGATTTTTGGTCTAAAAGGAATTATTGCCACAATATATTTTATTTATTCTTTAGATTTTAGCCTTGTAAGTTAAAGTGCTTTACATGATGATGTTAAAAGCTATCTGTCCCTTTACTGGGTTCGGGGAGTTGTAAAAAGATAGGGAATGAAGAATGCAAAATGGTTTATTGTTCATACTGTCCACTCTGATCCAACCCTGTACTGATAGTACCTTTCCAGTATGATATTGTGATGTTTCATACAATACAGTGAACATAACCAACTTGTTACCTAAATAAAGAATTGATAAAAACAGCGTGACATATTACTATTTGGTATGTTTTTAAAAGTAAAATCCAGTCTTGAATGTAATTTTTAAACATTTTACATAGTTGGGATATTTATTGTGAAATTTTTCATACAAAACCATGTAGGTGAATCATAATTCCAAAGAGGAATTAACGAAACTGTGTAAGACAGTACTAATTAACCTCCTCTTCACTCCAAACCCCCCTGCTTTCAAAAAACCTTTTCAGGTGGTTTAGTGACCCTTGAAATACAAATAATGTGTGAATTAGCAAAAGAAAAAAATGGAACTCAGTCTTTACTAATCTGCATTTTCTAGTCTAGCTGCTTTCAAATACTTGAGTCTTAGGACCCATTTATATATATATTTTTTCAGTTTATATTTTTAAAGGTTAAAGATCCCAAAGAACTTTGCTTTTATGGGTTTTTATTTTATTTACGTTATTTATCACATTAGAAATTAAAGCCAAGAAATTTTACATACTACTTTAATTCATTAAAAAATGAAACCATTGCCTGGTAACATAAGTACCATTGTTTTTTTGAAAAACAGTTATTTTCCAAATCTAAAAAATTTAGTGTGAGAAGGTGCGCTGGTTTTCGTTTTTGTAGACCCTTTAATGTTGGGCTGGATTCTCCTATCTGATTGTGTGTTCATTTTGTTGCAAATGTGGCACTTTGTTGGAAGTATACGAAGAAATCTGGCCTCACACAAATGTGTGTATTTGGAAGAGAGTATTTTAATAGTTTTAGGCAGTCGCGACTGTTCTGTTTGATTCCTGATCAGAACTTCGGAACTGGTAGTTTCTTGAAGTTTAGGTGCGGTGTGAAGTCTGAAACTATCCGTCCACTTTGTACTCTTACACTAAAACCCATCTGATCTATCTTGTTGGGAGTTTTGAATGGATGTCCTACTTGGGCATGATTTGGTAACATCATGGATTGATCTTTTGGAAAATACAAGTTTGTTGAATTACATGGTTCTTCCGAATATTGACATGTTATTATGCAGTGTTTAAATTTTTTTTCTTAATATAACACATCTCATCAGAAAAAATACTTTAAGTATTGGGAAACTGTCAAGCTCATGGCAATGGATACAGATTTTTCAGAATTCTGATTTTCATTTGAAAGGTGACGTTTTTGTCTCTGCACCAAATATTGTCAGTCGTTTTCCTTGAGTGACAGGCTGACTTCATTTACTCCCGAGAGAATGTCTGCTGACTCACCATAGTCTGTCAGTCATTCTTTCAAGTAGAAATGGCGCTCCTCGGAAGCAGCTGGTTCAGCGCACAGCTTACTAGCAGAAGCGACAGCCATCACACTTCCGGCGTGCTGTAGAAGCAGGTGCTTCGCATGTCATCGTTCAGGATATTAAAAAGATGCGTACTCCAGGGTAGATGTGTAATAAAAATTCTTACTGCCTCGCCGAGGGCACTGTCCCCTGAAATTGGCTTTCCCCCTTCCTTTTCTCTGAGTGCGGCATGAAGATACAGTAGCAGCTAATGGGTTGTCGTCCGTGTTGATTCCCACCGAGGTACCTGCAGTTTTACCTCCTGTTTCTTTTGCACAGTCAGTGCAAGCATCAGTGGGTTGAAAAAGAGTAAGTATTAGAAATAGTTCTGATCTCATAGACCTCCTGGAAAGGTTCCGTGGCATCCCCCAGACTTTCACAGTTGCTGCTTTGTCCGTTGGGATGGCTGTGTCGTGTGTTCATTGACTCCAAACATCACAGTGCCCTACTAAGTGAATCTTAACATGTCGATTTCACATAAAATTCAGATGGGGGAAGATGGTGACTGTGGTCACTGTTCTGCTTAGGAAGACGAACAAGGTGGAGTCTTTGATTTTGTATTTTGTCAGAAAATTCCTATGATGGGTTTCAACTTGGGAAACTCCTGTTTTGAGGTTAAGCTTAACAAAAGAGTTCGGTTTTCATATTGCATATATTCAGATCACTTCAGTCTTTCAAGATGTCTTCAATGACTGTGAGTTGGTGTTATTTGAAATAAAATCATTTTGCCACAAATGAGATGTCACATGGGGTTGGCCAGATAAAGATAGGACTTTTCTTTTTTTAATGACCATTAAATGGGTCAGGACTTTCATGTTGATGTTTTTCAATTAGATTTTCAATTTTCAGAACATTGAACAGAGTTGAGTAAAGTTGCCTTAGAGGCATTTTTTAAAAATTTCTAATTTCTGTCTCATTTTTCTTGCCCAATTATGAGGCTTGGTAATTAAAATATTTACTTAAGACACTTGAGCTTTTTGTTTTAAATGTATTTAGTTAAAAGCGATTGCAACTCTGAATTCTTCCTAAGTCCTTAAGTCAGTTTTGGTTTGTTTTTTTCCATATGTGGGGCATTCAGCTGGGTTTTGATGTCTTTTCATAGTGCTTGGTGGGCTCTCTAGCCACATGACTAGGCACTTGGTCTTCATAAGAAACCGTAGCAAAATTTAGAACTCAGATGCTAAGTTTCCATATAATAAATCAGTCTCCCTAGGGGTAAAGAGATGGTGCTGTCATGCCCTCTGAGGTCTTTTGTTTTGTTTTGTTTTCCTAGTCCGTCTTCAAAATGTCTTTTAATGGGGCGCCTGGGTGGCTCGTCGTTAAGCGCTAAGCGTCTGCCTTCAGCTCGGGTCATGGTCCCAGCGTCCTGGGATCGAGCCCCACATTGGGCTGCTTGCTCCCCAGGAAGCCTACTTCTCCCTCTCTCACTCCCCCTGCTTTTGTTCCCTCTCTCGCTGTGCCTGTCTCTCTGACAAATAAATAAAATCTTAAAAAAAAAAAAAAAAAGTTGGGGCGCCTGGGTGGCTCAGTGGGTTAAGCCTCTGCCTTTGGCTCGGGTCATGGTCTCAGGGTCCTGGGATCGAGCCCCGTATCGGGCTCTCTGCTCAGCAGGGAGCCTGCTTCCCTTCCTCTCTCTCTCTGCCTGCCTCTCTGCCTACTTGTGATCTCTGACTGTCAAATAAATAAATAAAAATCTTTTAAAAAAAAAAAAGTCTTTTAATGACCAGGTTTCAGATGGTATCAGTTGAGGAGAGATGTTTCTATAATATTAGCCCAACATTTGAGTCAGAAATTAGAGTATTACTAGTTTATATTCCAAACTAAACTACCTGAAATACTTGATGGGATGAGACCATGCATTAATAAGGAAATAAGTATTTTGATGTTATGAATGGCATTTTTGTTTTCAGACAACAAATTGATCATTAGAAGACAAATGTGTGTGTTTTCCGGATGTGGGAAAGTATACAGTCAAACCAGAGCATTGTTGCTGGAGTTAAACTGAGTTTTTATTCAGCTTCAATCACAGAAATTAACCAGAACTTGTCCATTGAATTTCTTTTGCTGGCCAAATCATACTTTCTTGTCTTGAATTTAGATCCCATTTTTCAGTGACTTCTCAAATTCACATTTCCTCTTCTAAGTTGCCTTTGTGTCTTGAAGATAATCTGGTTTAACTAGTAAGGGAAAGCATTTGTTAAAGATTTTAGAACACTGTTTTGGGTGGCTAAATACTAAGGAATCGCATATTGTGATTTTTTTTTCATATATTAACACAATGCACAAAATCCATTGTATTTGTAAGACAGTGAAATACTAATGTAACAGTCATTATGACCAGAATTTAAGTTATCTCAAAGCAGTTCGTAGTTACTTGGTTTTGCAAATAAATTGGTGGGCATTATGATGATTTCTTTTGTATTGTTGTCTATGTTCATTCAATTGCTTTAAGATTTTTTTTTTTCTATTCAATTTTGGTAATTTTTCTGTAAGCTTTAATGAAAATGCTGAGCAGGTGTTTATTTTTGCCCATTGTTTTGGATTATGTTTGTTACCTTGTGGTCTAGAAGTAAACCAGGGTAGCTACTAATAAAGAATAAGTTTCTTTTCAGGCCGTGACTACATCGGTGCTGGTTCTCTTCTTGCTGGTTTTCCTGCTGTGGTCTCTTCTCTCCTGCCCCTAATTTTGTTTTAGTTTTATTCTACCTGGCAGACACTTCTGTTGACTAAATACATGGTTTCCTGTTCAAATGTAAGTGATGGTTTGCTCTTCTAGTTCAGGAATGAAGCGTACGTGATCTTGGTATTAGGAGGTTAGTTATCCTTCTGTCCCTTATACCTACAACTCTAGTGGGGCAAACAAAACACCATACCTTTCAAATATGGGTGGAGTCAAAGTTTTGGGAATTTTTTCCCCCTTGACTAATAACCCTAGTTTATAATGGCAATAGTGATTTCTTGAATAATTAGATCCGTACAACAAATGTGTTTTCCATTTATTTTCTATTTTTTATTATCTTTAATATTTTACATAATATCTACTTCTGATGAAAATACTTGGGCATGTATTTGAGGTGAAGAGTACCAGTACAATCCAAGAATTACTCTTGATGTAGGGGTCTCATACCTTCTTTCCCTCTCCTGGGTCATTTGTGCTTATTTTCACTTGTGCACTCACTAATGCAGAGGAGTTTGTCTCATTACTAAGTCTTGAAGACATGAGGTGCAATTTATTTTGGCAGAATTCCACAGTGACATGATTTAGAGGACTGTGGAGTTTATTTTCATGAGATTTTTGCTTATGAGTAAGCATCATCTAAGCAATTTTAAATATTTAATATTTGCTATTGAAACTGATCTTAGGTAAGACTGGCAATCAGTGTTCTAGAACTTTGATCCTGTTGTAGTAACTGGATTTTATTAATCCTGGAATTACAGGTTCTTTAGGAATGTAAAAGCATTTCAGGAAGAGTTCACATTTCAAAATTATATATACTCCGAAATAATCTTCATAGTCTTAAGAATTTTCATGTAGTTCAAACTCCCTAAAATGTTATAATTACAAGGTTACCGTTTTTCAACCTCCGGAGCAGTTCTGCTTTTTTCTATGTTATTTCTTGGGATTCCATCTAAGAATTGATTTGAGTAAAGGTTTAATGACATTGGAAAGTTTAAAGATCACTAGGCTCAGAGAGTATATATGTGACTTGGTTA